AGGTAGAAGCCTGAACCACAACCAGATCTCCAGAGATGGGAAATTTCCACTTGAAAGGACAAGCAGACCAGCCTGGAATGGCTAGAAGAACAGAAGATACTTCTTGAAAGAAAGACCTACAGAAAACATACAAAACAATAGAGGCAGATAGACTGCTACTACAAGAACAAACAAGTTGCCTGCCCAGGAAACATCAAGGCAAGTGGTCGGGTCCCCTCAGTGCAAACCCCATTCCAAGCATAAGACCTAATGGGAATACATGCTCTGATTGGTGACCACGCTCGTCACCAATAAGGGGAAGTGAGGGAAAAACAGCAATGAAGTGGCAAGCTAAGCCCTACAATGTGGAGAGTGAAGCGTGCAGCTGATAAAAAGAGAGGGCATATGCACAAGAACACTCACACTTGCAGATAATACCCACTTGACCTGACTTCAATGACTGGATGATCAGAGCTCAACCAGAAGAAGAATGAAGAGGGGAAAAAAGAGTAATCTGATACAATTTGATGAACTTGACCTACATCTATGGATGCAGTAACTCAAAAGAGGGAACAAATGCTTACAACAAGAATCATTCCCACCCCCTCCACACAGAGTAAACAGGGATGGGCAACTTGGACATTGGCTACCCAAAATGGTGGGGGGAGGAGGGCTACAAAGGCAAGAAGTGACTGGCTTACAAGCTTTCAAGAGGGAACCTAGAGCCAGAGGGCATGGAGGAAGGCAGAATCTCCAGTGAGTACTATCCAATCTGTCTAGGCAGAGCTGATGAAATGAAATGAAGATGGGTCTCTTGTGATTCAATAGTAAATAATTGTTATCAGGACTGATTGTGAGGGTTGGAAATGTAAAGGTAGACATTTTATAGCAAGGAATGGAGTTATTAACATTCCAGTCTAGGAGTGGAGGTCCCTAGGACCATTAATGGAGAAGAGCTGAGAAGCAGCGATGCCTGAGATGGAGGCAGAGATGATGACGTGGAACAATGGAGCAGCTGGGGACTTTAGATCCAGAGAGGGAGAGCAACTGTGTGCTGAAGACTCGGGGGTGGGGGAGGTAGTGTAGGGGGCAGGCTTGCAGTGTATACCCTTTGGTTGGTTGATGATGCATGGAGGGGATTGGAACCATGACAATGAAATGATCTATGATAGAATGAATGTAAA